AGGAGAGATATAATGGCAGTTTTTAAACATGATTGTTTATCACATAGCATAGTAGTAGTAGTAGCAGCAACAGTAGTAGCTGTAGTAATAGTAGCTAGGAGGTGGAATGAATTGCAGGACAGTGTTTCTGAGAGTAGAAATTCTTAGCCTGTGGAACAAGCTGCCACATAATGTAGCAAATTTTCCTCCCCTGCAGAAATCATGAAACAGAAGCCAATTAGTCATCTATTAGAGCACCTCTGATAGACCATATATTGAACAAGGAATTGGATTAGATAACCTTAAAAGTCCCTTCCAATTAATAAAGCACTAGAATTTGATTTCATTGAGGAACACAGATAGGATTCAAATTAATTCTTGAATAGTCTGACGCTTGATTCCAGTGGATAACTGAGCATCAGGTTTATTTTCTACTTGAACTTTGGCTGGCTTTTTATCTACAGAATTTCTGTGACTGGTCTCACCTGGTGTCCTTCCAAAGGAATTAAGGATTTATGACATGAAAAGGATGTTGAACAATTAAAGTTTAAGATTTTTAGGATAAAGACATCAGAAGAAACTCCCTACGAAAAGAAAAGCTTAGAGTAGGAGGCATAAAAGTAGAGTGAGACCTATTGTTCTCTCGCTGAGAAAGCATTTATGTTGGAGTCTCCTTCATATAGCGGAGTTTGTAAATATCTCTCCCATTTATATAAAGAATAAAAACTAAACTTACAAAATCTAATTCCAAATGTCAGCTTTGGCCTTTGAAAATAATGTATATTTTAGCATTTCCAGATTTGATATGACGGGGGAATTGGTTGTCAGATGACTTGTTTTTCCTCTTGTTTTGACACAATGTTGATTTTATTCGTCCCAAAATAATGCTAGATGTGATTTCCTCCTATTGATCTTATAAAAAAAAAATCCTCCCTCCCAAATGCTGCCAAATCAAAGCTGTTCTTTCTAATTCTACTCCAAAGTATAAATATCTACTACAATTGGGTTGTGTATATTTTTTCACAGACATAATCTAACGTCCATAGATCCATGTAACCTTCTCGATGATCCTGGTCATAATTTCTATAGGCCACCATCTGCTTAGTCTCCTATTAAATATATTAGAGTATAATCCGTTACTTTTCTTTTCTCAAACCTCTATCCCTATTTATATCACTCTTTGAGTTCTGCAAATGGAAATATGTAACTTTGGAGAATGAAGCTGCTGCCTTTTTGTCAAATGTTTTTAATAATAATACAAATATTTTCAGCTATCCAATGTCTATGTCACTTTTGTTTCATAATTTGTTTCGTAATTCAGGGAAAACTCTTTTTTCATATATAAATATATATAGTAAAGTCAGATTAATATCTGGAGTCAAATTCATGGAAATAGTGTTGTTGTTGTTAATTGCGAAGTCATGTCCGACCCATCGCGACCCCATGGACAACGTTCCTCCAGGCCTTCCTGTCCTCTACCATCTTTTGGAGTCCATTTAAATTCACACCTACTGCTTCAGTGACTCCATCCAGCCATCTCATTCTCTTTTGCCCTCAATCTTTCCCAACATTAGGCTCTTCTCCAGTGAATCCTTTCTTCTCATTAGATGGCCAAAGTACTTGAGTTTCAACTTCAGGATCTGGCCTTCTAAAGAGCAGTCGGGATTGATCTCTTCTAGGACTGACCGGTTTGAATGCCTTGCAGTCCAAGGGACTCGCAGGAGTCTTCTCCAGCACCATAGTTCAAAGGCCTCAATTCTTTGGCGCTCAGCCTTTCTTATGGTCCAACTTTCACAGCCATACATTGCAACTGGGAAAACCATGGCCTGGACTATACGCACTTTTGTTGGCAGGGTGATGTCTCTGCTTTTTAGTATGCTGTCTAGATTTGCCATAGCTTTCCTCCCCAGGAGCAAGCGTCTTTTAATTTCTTGGCTGCAGTCCCCATCTGAGGTGATCTTGGAGCCCAGAAAAATAAAATCTGTCACTACCTCCATTTCTTCCCCATCTATTTGCCAGGAATTGAGAGGGCCGGATGCCATGATTTTGGTTTTCTTAATGTTGAGTTTCAAGCCAACTTTTGCACTCTCCTTCTTCACCCGCATCAAGAGGCTCTTTAGTTCCTCTTCACTTTCTGCCATTAGAGTGGTATCATCTGCATATCTTAGGTTGTTGATATTTCTCCCGGCAATCTTAATTCCAACTTTTGATTCATCTAGCCCTGCCTTTCTCATGATGTGCTCTGCATATAAGTTAAATAGGCAGGGCGACAGTATACAGCCTTGCCGGACTCCTTTTCCAATTTTGAACCAATCAGTGGTTCCGTGTCCGGTTCTCACTGTTGCTTCTTGACCCGCATATAAGTTTCTCAAGAGACAAATGAGATGGTCTGGTACTCCCATCTCTTTAAGAACTTGCCACAATTTGTTGTGATCCACACAATCAAAGGCTTTTGCATAGTCAATGAAGCAGAAGTAGATGTTTTTCTGGAACTCCCTAGCTTTCTCCATGATCCAGCGTATGTTGGCAATTTGATCTCTAGTTCCTCTGCCTCTTCGAAATCCTGCCTGTACTTCTGGTAGTTCTCGATCCACATACTGCTGGAGTCTAGCTTGTAGGATTTTAAGCATAACTTTACTAGCATGTGAAATGAGTGCAATGGTGCGATAGTTTGAACATTCTTTGGCATTGCCTTTCTTTGGAATTGGAATGTAAACTGACCTTTTCCAATCCTGTGGCCACTGTTGAGTTTTCCAAATTTGCTGGCAAATTGAGTGTAGCACTTTTACTGCATCGTCTTTTAAGATTTTGAATAGCTCAGCTGGAATACTGTCACCTCCACTAGCTTTGTTGTTGCTCAGATTTTCTAAGGCCCATTTCACTTCACATTCTAGGATGTCTGGTTCGAGGTCAGTGACCATCTCATTGTGGTTATCTGGGATGTTAAGCTCATTCTTGTATAGTTCTTCTGTGTAGTTTTGCCATCTCTTCTTAATCTCTTCTGCCTCTGTTAGGTCTCTGCCATTTTGGTCCTTTATCATGCCCATCTTTGCATGAAACGTTCCCTTCATATCTCCAATTTTCTTGAAGAGATCTCTGGTCCTCCCTATTCTGTTGTTTTCTTCTATTTCTTTGCACTGTTCATTTAAGAAGGCATTCTTATCTCTTCTAGCTACTCTCTGGAATTCTGCATTCAATTGGGTGTATCTTTCTCTTTCTCCTTTGCCTTTCGCTTCCCTTCTTTCCTCAGCTATTTGCAAAGCTTCCTCAGACAGCCATTTTGCTTTCTTGCATTTCTTTTTCTTTGGGATGGTTTTAGTTGCTACCTCTTGTACAATGTTGCGAACTTCCATCCATAGTTCTTCAGGCACTCTGTCTATCAGATCTAATTCCTTAAATCTATTTGTCACCTCTACTGTATATTCATCAGGAATATGATTTAGTTCATACCTGAGTGGCCTAGTGCTTTTCCCTACTTTTTTCAATTTAAGCCTAAATTTTGCAACGAGAAGCTCATGATCTGAGCCACAGTCAGCTCCTGGTCTTGTTTTTACTGACTGTATAGAGCTTCTCCATCTTTGGCTGCAGAGCACATAGTCAATCTGATTTCTATGTTGACCGTCTGGTGATGTCCATGTGTAGAGCCGTCTCTTGGGTTGTTGGAAAAGAGTGTTTGTTATGACCATCGTATTCTCTTGACAAAATTCTATTAGCCTGTGCCCTGCTTCATTTTGTACTCCAAGGCCAAACTTGCCTGTTATTCCGGTTATCTTTTGGCTTCCTACCTTAGCATTCCAATCCCCCATGATGATAAGGACATCATTTTTTGGTGTTAATTCTATAAGGTGCTGTAGGGCTTCATAGAACCGGTCAATTTCATCCTCTTCAGCACCAGTGGTTGGGGCATAGATTTGGACTATTGTGATATTGAATGGTTTGCCTTGGATTCGAATTGAGATCATTCTGTCATTTTGGGGATTGTATCCCAGTATTGCTTTTCCTATTCTTTTATTGACTATGAAGGCTACTCCATTTCTTCTGAGGGATTCTTGCCCACAGTAGTATACCTGATGGTCATCTGAGTTAAATTCACCCATTCCTGTCCATTTTAGTTCGCTGATTCCTAAGATGTCGATGTTCAGTCTTGTCATCTCTTTTTTGACTACGTCTCGCTTGCCTTGATTCATGGATCTTACATTCCAGGTTCCTATGGAGAAAAAATCTTTACAGCATCAGACTTTCCTTTCACCATCAGATATATCCACAGCTGAGCGTCCTTTCGGCTTTGGCCCAGTCGCTTCATTCTTTCTGGCGCTACTAGTAGTAGCCCTCTGCTCTTCCCCAGTAGCATATTGGACACCTTCCGACCTGAGGGGCTCATCTTCCAGCGTCATATCTTTTTGCCTTTTAGTACTGTCCATGGGGTTTTCATGGCAAAGCTACTGGAGTGGTTTGCCATTTCCTTCTCCAGTGGATCACATTTTGTCAGAACTCTCTGCCATAACCTGTCCGTCTTGGGTGGCCCTGCATGGCATAGCTTATAGCTTCATTGAGTTACGCAAGCCCCTTCACCACGACAAGGCAGTAATCCATAAAGGGGCATGGAATTAATAGTGCAGATAAATTGGAATGATCAGTTTGCTGATATGGGAAAGAATTTGTATACTAATTATCACCATCTCTGTCATTGTCAAATATTGAGTACACCTTCAGAAACCTAAAAACAATATTCTGTGTATTGTCTATATTCTGTGTGTCAGTGTAACATTCCTTTTTTTTTTCTTTCAGAATTTTAGTAATAATTGTGCTTTTGATTTGTTTAGAGTTTGAGATTAAGGACAGCCTTCAAAATATTTGTATCTTAAACTGCTTATACATATAATCTGTATTCAATTTATTTCTTATCTTTGTGAAGGTAGGAGAGGCAGAGCACAGGAAAGAGAGACAGAGAGAGATAGTAAGAGTTCAGTGCTGGCCTTTTCATTGAATCTACAATAGCTTTTTATTTTTGTCTTGTCCAGATACCTGAAAGGTGTGTCTAAAAATGCAGTTTCTCCTGTATTATTGGAACTGGCCAATGAGGTAATAAGTTTTAAAAGTATTCTTCTGAAATGTAAGATCTTTATTTGTAGAGATTTTTAAGAAGTATTCTTGAAATATATGTAGTTTTAGGGTACATCATATATTTAAAATGTTAATCTGTTTGTAATAAGAGTACAAAAAAAATTATTAATTAATCAATTAAGGTATTCAACATATTATATTTTGAATATATCTGTGTAATTTCCATTTTTATATATATAAAGACAAGTGGTTACTTTGCATGTATGGGTCACTTTCAGCAACAGTTATTTGAATCTCTGAAGAACTTGTTTGAGTCTTTTGTTTTTATAGAAATATCCATAATATACAGTATGATTTTACAATAAAATTAATTTCCTTTATTTTCAATGTTTTTCAACCCTTTTTAATATAGGATTTAATGGGGAAATGGGTTTAATATTAATGAAACATTCCTCATGGACATCAGAGTTCAAAGAAGTATGATGTGAGTTTGAAATGTTTATATTGTTGTCATCCATATTTAATAGAAGAAAACTCCTGCATTATTGTGATGAAACATTTGTGTCCAGGCAGTGGTTAGAATGCAGTACTGCAAGCTACTTCTGCTGACTGCTATATGTCAGCAGTTCGAATGTCACCGGCTCAAGGTTGACTCAGTCTTCCATCCTTCTGAGGTTGGTAAAATGAGGACCTAGATTGTTGGGGCAATATGCTGATTCTATAAACCGCTTAGAGAGAACTGTAAAGCACTGTGAAGTGGTATATAAGTCTAAGTGCTATTGCTAATTCATTGGAGAAGACTCTTTTCTACTGCAGACACAGAAAGTTTATAAACTTCCTATATGGCTTCCAAAGAGGAGTCCCATCTTTTTAAACTTGTAACATGTTTATTTATAGTAAGACTATGATATTATTTCATTTTAACATTGCAATACGAGTGTTATTAGATTATAATAAATGCTCTGGATTTATTTCTTCTAAGTGCTAAAAACTGTAGCAAACCCAAACCAAATTAAAAAAAAAAGACAAATGTACAGCAAGCTCTACTCATTACATTAGGAAATATGATTTTTCTCTAAGCTTCTGTCTAATTTACACTGTAATAGTCTACAAATGGGTATCTATCAGATACTGGATGGTTTTAACGGTCTTTAAAATGTCTACATGTTGGAGCAATATAGGGCTACCAAATGAAATAGATATTTTGTACTGGTGCCAAATCGATGGTTCTTGTAGCTTTATACTATTTTCTTTATTTTGAACAAAAGAATATTATTAATCAAATACAATACATAGATATTGTCCTAGATAAGCACCTTCTCCAGCATGTAAAGGAATGTAGAATCCACAGATGGGTTGATTTAGTCTTCTAGCCCAATCAGACCAAACAATCAAAGTTGCCACGCCTCTGCAGGGTCTGACCATGCCCCAGTTTCGTTTGGTCTCAGCCCTGAAGAGACGTGAGAATTTGGCTCCAAATTTAGATTCAGAAAGGCAGTTATTGCCATTTGTGGAATCTCTACCCTTTTTTTTCCTTCTTTGGGGGTGGGGATTGGTTCAGCTCTGGGCTCAGTGCTGCACCATTTCTTCTCTCTTTAATCAATTCTCCGTTGAGTTTTTCAGAGGCAGACAGCTCATTACAGACAGCTGCCTCCTCATTACAATCCACCCCCCACCCCCTCCCAGGATCTTCGCTGTGAATGCAAAGCTTTAAACTATTAGTTTTCGGCTGAAAATTCTCAATTCACCTTCCTGGGTTCATTACCAATTCAAACAACCTGCGGGCACCATTTTGAGCCTCTAGAAGGCTCGTTCCTCACATTACTCAAGTATTTCCTTGTTACTGTTGATTGTCAGCTGTAAATTACGCAAAAAACCCACAGGTGAATTGTTTGACTAAAAGAACTTATTACCAGATTACTTGCAAAAGAGGATCTTTTCTCTCAGCTTGTTTTATCTCTCATTAGATCGTTGCGGCTGCCATTTTGGGCTCCACCCATCGCACACATTAAATTGACTGCTTTGACCTAATTACAGCCTTTTCAGTCACAAAGCAACTTACTTATTTGGTGATTCTCCCTACATGGGGGGAGGATAGAAGTTCTAATTATACTCTTTTAGGTCTTCCTTACCTCGTGCTTTAGCTGCTTAATAGGCGCCATCTTAGGTTACCTAGTGGACATAGGGAAAATACCTTGAGTCTCTCACTCCATTTTATCTGGTAATATTTCAGACTGTGTGACTTACCAGTACCTTTCAAATATCCAGTGCCAACACATTGGACTGCTGCTTGCCTTGCCTGTTTTCCGCTGTCTGCATAGTGGTCGGCACTTACTGTCCTAGCCGTCACTAAGTGAGACACGAGGGTGAAAAAAAATTGAAAATTAATTAAAATAAAACAGAACTAAAATAAACAAGATATATATCTATATTCATATATAGACTTATCTTTAATTGACATTTGATACTTTTTCGGCCAAATTGTCTCTCTATTACAGTGGGCCTGAAAAATTGAATGGGGAGGACAGCCCCTGAGCATAGCGCAGCTTATATCGCGTAGTGACTCCGTGCTTAACGGCGGGCCAGACCTCACAGACCCTTGTGCAGGCCTGTACCACCCAGGTGGGCCATGGCCTTCCTTTCTCCTGCAGACCAAGGGCCGATCCAGGGATCTCCTGGTGAAAATCTGCCCTTTCTTCTCCTGCAGAACAGGACTGATCCAGGGATCTCCTGGTGAAAACCTCCCTTTTCTTCTACTGCAGTACAGGCCCGATCCAGGGATCTCCTGGTGAACACCTGTTGTTTCTTTCCTATTGTTTATTTCAATATGGCGGATAACACCGTTTCACAGGCTTCCACCTCCAGTGGATATATAAAACGCAAGCCATCCAGTCAGGATACACCTGCAAAAGCCAAGGCCAAGGTCAAACGGACCTCTAAGGCCGATGACAAGCAAGCAGATAGCAGACATAGGGCATTGGAACAACAATTCTCCAAAGCCCAGCGACAGGCAGGAGAGACACAGCTTATCCCCTCCCCTCCTCTTGCATCCACATCATGGGCTTGGTCTCCCGAGCAGACCCTGGACCAGGGTTCTTTGCTGGGATATGAACGGGACCATCTGTCCCTCTTTGACCGAGAATTGAGATTACAGGTCCAAGAATTCCAGCTGCTGAGCCAGGACCTTCCTCGGTGTCTTGTGGGTCTCAGGGGGAGGTTACTACAGTCGTCCCTCCCCCAATCCCATCAGCATCTTTCACGCCAACGGCGGCAGGTCTTCGGGGGCCCGAACATCCTTCATTTACTGTCCAGCTCCAAGCCATGATCTCACAGGCAGTGGCTCAGGCTCAGGCGACTTCAGGGAGGGCCATTCCGGTCCAAGGACCATCAAACCCCCCTATGCCCACGGAAACTATGCATCCCAGGGAGTATGTGATCTTAGATCACAGTTCTCCACCTCAATCTGAAGGGAGCGAGATATCGGATTATTCCGCACAGATTCCAGAAGAAGGCATGTGGTCAGACGGGGAAGACATTCAGGTGGAGGCCACTCCTATGGTAGGGGTGTTTAATCCAAATTCCTTCTATTCTCTTTTACAAAAGGCCTATGTCACCGGAAAAATTGAACCGGTGAAACCACAGACGATGGATCAGGACTCTGGACAGAGTTCTGACCCACTGTTTCTGGAACTGGTCAAGAAGAACCTACAGATACCTTGTCCCCCCATGTTTCTCAAATCCATTCAGGATCAGTGGGGATCTCCTGGAAGTTTCTCTGCTCTTGGGGGATTAGATCGTAAGCTCTTAGATACGGTCCCTTCCCTCAACGATGTCCTCGAAGTTCCGGGTGTAGATGAGGCTCTCGCCCCCATACTGTCAGACACCAAAATCCCAGGAGATATGTCGGAGGCCCTTAAGGCTGAGGACAAGAAGTCTGAGATGTCTCTCAAAAGGACCCATCAGGCATCAGCTTGGGCTATAAGAGCCTCAACATCTAACTCCTTCTTCGCCAGAATCGCAATAATCTGGCTCAGGGAATTACAGACCAGAATATCCCCAGACGTAGTAAGGGTTCATCAGGATGTCACTAAACTAAGGGCCGCACTGGAATACATGGTGGATGTGTCTCTGCAGTCGGCCAAATATTCGGCTCGGGCCATAGCTTCCAATGTGGCTACACGCCGGTTGTTCTGGCTAAAAAATTGGAAGGCCGATACCAGGCACAAATGGAGAGTAGCTGCAGCACCATATCAAAAGGGTCGCCTTTTTGCAGAGGCTCTCACTCCTTACCTGACTGAAAACAAAGAAAAGTTGAAGGTACTAGCTCATATTGTCAAAAAAATGGACAGATGTTTTTCTCCATACAACCGGCATCCGTCGTTTAAGTCTGGCTCAGACCAAACTACCTGGAGCGGGTATCGGCCCTTTCAAGCAGGGCCGGACCACTCATCGGACCGGTCTGGCTACAGAGACAAGCCAAAGCCACAATTCCAGGCTAAGTGGCCCTTTCGCGGCAGAAGAGGTCATCCTTTCCGAAAGTCAAAGTAACTTGAGGTGGATTCCCCCCATTGGTGGAAGACTGGCACTATACTTCCACAAATGGGAAAACACCACCACGGACAATTGGGTTCTAACCACTATCAGAGACGGACTGTCTTTGGAGTTCCTCACACTCCCCTCTCAGCGCTTCATCTCCTGCCCCCTATCCCGAAATCCCGTGAAACAAGGTCTCATGGAGGAGGCCATTCGTCATCTGTTAAGCATAGAGGCAATAGAGCGGGTACCCCCAGATCAATGGGGACTAGGTTTCTACTCCATCCTATTCATGGTACCAAAGACCTCGGGAGGATGGAGGGCAATCCTAGACCTCAAGGCTCTAAATCAGTACCTAATTTACCAAAAATTCAAGATGCAAACTCTTCATTCTGTTCTGGGCAGTATTCGGCCAGGGGACTTTCTTACATCCATAGATCTGACAGAAGCTTACCTTCGCGTTCCCATACATCCAAATCACAGGCATTTTCTCAGATTCAGGTATTCCAACCATCACTATCAGTACAGGGCCCCGCCATTCGGCCTATCGTCAGCTCCAAGGGTTTTCACCAAAATCCTGGCGGTTTTTGCCCCACAGCTCAGGTTGGTACCAGTCCATGTTCAGTGCTACTTGGACGATATCCTAATCCAGTCGTCTTCGGCCCTGAATGCCCGATCAGACGTGGCACTGACAATCAAGACACTCCAGGATCATGGATTTATGATCAACTTTCCAAAGAGCCATCTGAACCCAGCAAACCGTTTGCTCCACTTAGGAGCAATAATAGACACCAACCAGTGCCGAGTTTTCCTGTCTCAGGAGCGTCAGCTCAGCATATACGAGGGTCACCAGGGTGCGCAAGGAGAAACGTGAAACCCTGATCCTACTGTCACAGCTGTTAGGGAAACTGATCTCATGTATTGCCATAGTGCCCTGGGCCAGGCTTCATACGAGACAACTGCAGTGGTTTCTACTCCCTTACCAGAAACGGGGTGTAGCATGTTTTCCACAGAGGGTGCAAGTCCCGCCACAGACACTCATGTCCCTCATCTGGTGGTTGTCCCCAGCATTGTCCAAAGGATCCCTGTTCAGAGAACTGACTCGGGTAACCTTGACCACAGACGCTAGTCTGTTTGGATGGGGGGCACATCTGCAATCCCAATTCGCCCAGGGGCGGTGGTCCCAACGGGATCTCAAGAAAAATATCAATTGGTTAGAGCTCAGAGCCATACACCTAGCACTTCGCCATTTCCACAAGAAGTTGGCGGGCCACCATGTGCTGGTTCTGACAGACAACATGGCGGCAAAGGCCCATGTCAACAGGCAGGGCGGCACTCGATCGCGGATTCTAATGTCCGAGGCCCAGTGTCTGGGGTCATGGGCAGAACAGAATCTGTTGTCCCTAAAGGCGGAACACATCTCAGGGGTAGAAAATGATCAGGCAGATTTTCTGAGTCGATCTATGATAGATCATTCAGAGTGGCTTCTACATTCCCGTCTCTTTTGGGAGATAACTCACCATTTCAGTCGGCCCAAAGTCGACCTGTTTGCATCTCCGACGAATGCCCAGCTTCCCTGGTTTCTATTTCGGTACCCATCCCAGGGTTTGGAGGGAGAAGACGCTCTCTGCAGCCCTTGGCCGGCAGGCCTTCTTTATGCATTTCCACCCCTTCCCCAGCCATCATCAGGAAGCTGTTACAGGAACGGGTGGAGCTAATTCTTGTGGCCCCATATTGGCCGAGGCGTCCATGTTCGTGGATCTCGTGAACCTTGCCATAGCCCCCCCTCCTTGGCAAATCCCTCCAGAGAGGATAATTCTAACGCAGGGGGCCATACGCCACCCGGACCCGCAGTGGCTACAACTAGCCGCCTGGCATCTGAGCGCCAGTTCCTGATGTGTGGATCTTACTCTTCAAGGGTGATAGCTATGATCCAAGCTTCCAGACAGCTGGCAATGAACCGGATCTATGATGCCACTTGGAAGAACTTCTGTGACTGGTGTACCTATAAGGGTTTGTCTATCTCTTCTGTCACTATTCCAGTGATTCTTGAATACCTCATGGATGGAGTCGATAAGGGCTTAGCGCCCAACACCTTGCATAGACAGGTGGCCACTCTTTCCATGGTGTTCACCTGTGCCAACTCCACTCCATTGTCCCATCATCCCAGAGTCCGGTCCTTTATGAAAGGAGTCTCCAACACCAGACCTCCGGTAGTACACAGGTATCCATCTTGGGAACTACCTCGGGTTCTGCAGGCACTCACTAGGTCTCCCTTTGAACCTATAAGGTCTTGTCCTCTTCACATTTTGTCCCACAAGGTGGCCTTCCTAGTAGCCATCACATCGGCGAGGCGCGTGTCAAAGCTGGCTGCTGTTTCAGTTAGGGAAGACCTGTGTACCTTTTATCAGGACAGAGTGGTGATGAGGTTAGATCCCTCATTCATTCCCAAGGTGAATACACTGTTTCACCAGGCTCAGGACATTATACTACCAAACTTTTGTCCCAATCCTTCTCAGACACTAGAAAAGCAGTGGCATTACCTAGATGTACGTAGGGCATTGCGTCATTACATTAAGAGGACAGCTTCCTTTCGCAAATCGGAGGCATTGTTTGTCTCTTTCCACTCAGCTTCCAAGGGACAGAAGGTTTCCAGGTGGATCAAGGCCTGTATCTCTCAATCTTACCAGGCTTACTCTTTACCTGTCCCAAGCCGCCTGACAGCGCACTCTACTCGTAGCGCTTCCACGTCGGCGGCGTGGCAGACTCAGGCATCCATAGAGGATATCTGTAAGGCGGCTACGAGGTTGTCCCCTTCACCATTCATTCGCCACTACAAATTCGACAAGTTTCTTCCGCAGAGGCTGCTTTTGGCCATCAGGTTTTATAATAAGTGGTCCATTTCAGCAACGACACTTAACCAACCTGCTTCCCACCCGTGGGATCATAGGGGCTTTGGTATGTCCCATCTATGGATTCTACATTCCTTTACATGCTGGAGAAGGGGCGTTGTCTTACCTGAACGCCTTTTCTCAGCATGAGGAATGTAGAATCCACCCCCTCCCTGATCATTACTAGCAGTTAGTTTAGTATCAGCAGTTCGGAGCCATCACATCACACAATCATTCGCTTCGCCCTTTCGAAACTGCAGCATGGTCAGACCCTGCAGAGGCATGGCAACTTTGATTGTTTGGTCTGATTGGGCTAGAAGACTAAATCAACCCATCTGTGGATTCTACATTCCTCATGCTGAGAAAAGGCGTTCAGGTAATACAACGCCCCTTCTAGTCGCCGAAATAGATCATGTGTACAGTCTTGCTTGCATCAGCCCCCCCCCTTCAATCCCCATTTCTAACAGATAATTCTGGTACATAAAGCATGCCCTTATTCAGATACTATCTTAGCAATTTATACACTTAGGGTTTCTTAAATTGTAAATTTAGAAATAAATAAAATTATTTAAAATTTTTAAGTTTAAGGTTTAAAATACTGCTGAAATTACTATTTCATGCAGATATATACGAAATGTATGTTTTGTAATCAGCTTTAGCAATTAGAGAAACATGCAATGTCAAACATCTGATGACTATTTCTACACAATCAAGTTGCTATTTTTATATGGTAGTTAATATTTAAATGACAAATTATTCCATATGCTGACCAATGATGTAATGGTAATATTTGAGTCAATTAGTGATTGCTTTAAAAATTGGTGAGAAGCATATAACAGGCATCATAGTATGTAATATGCTAAATTAGAATAGTGCCTTGTATTTTTTATGAAATGCTGAACCTTTTAAAAATATTAAATATGACCACTGTATACTTTAAAATATTTTTTAAAAAAATGAAAACTCGTATATGTATTAAAAATAAAACTAGTCATTCTCACCAAATATTTTCTAGTGAGATTTGAAACACTATGAATATTACTTACATGTTACATTCTGACATAAAGCATGATGGCCCTATTTCAGAGAAAGATGGGTTCATGATTAATATGAAAATTAGGAAGATGCAAGTACCTGAACTAATAAGGTAGTCCTTATTCTGGCTGGTCTACCTTCAGTAATTTCACCATTTTTCATGTGTCAGCTCTGATGTGAGCTACCAGAAATAAGCAATTCTTTGTAAAAAGCATTTCTTTCTATTAGGGGGAATTTCAGTGCATCAAAGTACATATACATTTAGAAAAAAGCATGTAGAAATCAAAATAAGTTTTGTTTCCCCAAATATATGAATATATTTGAAAACATATAAAACAAAAAATGAAAAAAAATGAATATTATCATTTGCAATTATTTTCTTTAAAAGTCTGGCATTTGGTCAAGAGTATATTTCACATTGTTTAATAAATGTAAGCTTTAACAATGAAAGTAGATATTTTTAAACAGATGTTCATTTCTGAAGTATATTTGAGCAATCCTTGTTTCTCTATATTCATTTTTTTTGTCTCATAATCTTCATGTTGTACTATACAAAGTGATCGATCTAGATATAACAGTACCTATATATCTGGATTTTTATCATTACTAATTTACAAAAATAAAATCTTTTAAAGGTTCCCTTAGAATTTTCCGAAGAAATAAGCTGTAGACATTCTTAATGCAATCAACTTTGCACAAAATTTGTCTGCATAAATCACAATAATTTCATTGTAATACAATGTACAATATAGTAACCTTTAAATTTATAATAGCTCTATTGGAAAAATAAATTAAAATGTCATTATTTGAGACGTTGTTTTGTTATTGAAGAAGTTTCACTATATTAAAACACGTAATGATGTCCATCTAGAGGAGACCAAATTGGAGAAGTAGTATTGTAATAATATTGCAGTAGCAAATTCTGGACCACAACTTATATAAAAGTGATAAGAAATGAAAATACAATTCATCCTCTTCCCCACAATGAGAGAAAGAGAGCACCAACCAAGAAGGAGCACTGAGCAATCTCAGTCACCACAAAGTAATTTAGTTGATCCTGAAAACATGCATGAGCAGAAGAAACAGAGTGTGCCAAAGGAGTCAGTGTGAATTAATGAAGTCATGCCACAATCTTTTGTTTCAGGTCTCACTTCTACTGGGTAAATGTTAAATATGTTATTTAATCTTGTCTATGATTATTTCAAACAATGTAATAAACACAAATCAGTAAAACGAACCATTATGACGATTTTTTTAAAATTGAAATATAAGGCCATACATGAATACGAATGCATAATAACGTTGTTGTAAGATGTGGTCCAAAAGATTTATTTATCAGATTATAGCATAATTTTTACCATGTCAGAGAAATGTACCTTTCTGAAAAGATGACTGAGATAATGGAGGATGCATCCTTGACACCGCTTTATTGATCTAAGTGATGAAATAAAACCAGATTTTAATGAAAGTTGGTTACAGTTTATCTTTCTTCTAAGGTGGATTTTGCCCCATCACTTATGGCTCGAATTGTGCTAGAAAGATTTCTACAAGAACAAGATGGATCAGTACGTAAGTAATATTAAAAATTTTTATGGTTATTGATATACAACTAAAAATGTAAAGTGAATAAAGGCAGCTTTTTAAATCTCATAAAATTTCCAGTTGTTGTAGGGAAAAATTTATTAAGGTTATGTTGCATATTACACATTGAACTCTTGGAGAAAAGGCAAGATAGAAATAAAATTAATTAATTAAATAAATAAGTAAGAACTATAACACGTTGTTTTCATCCTCAGAGTTTTTTGCACTGAGTATATACGTTATCCCTCATTATAGAATTTATATTAGTTACTGTCTTCAAAATTATTTTTCTACGGAAAAAAATACTTCTTAATATTACATGTGGAACTGATTATTTTAAGGTCTTAACAGAGTTATGGTACAGATTATATGCTACAGATAATTGTTTGCATCCCTTTAAAAATAGCACTCTAATACCCTGCTATCATATTTTAAGGCAAAATACTACAGATAGAATTCTTCTATTGTGGGGCAATCCTTTCATCGAGAATTCAAGAAATAAGCATGTTCTTGAAGTTCATTAGAAATTAGTAAGAATTCAAAGTTCTGAAACTGTAATTAGTTCATGGCATAAATAATTTTGCCAAATAATTCTTGAAAAGAAACTTATTCTACTTTAAAATTCTGAAATCTCAGAACTTTAAGGTGAATTTAACTGAGCTCAGTATTAGACAGAAAAAAAATGAAAAGAATATAGCTTCAGGAGGAGGTTCAAGGCTAAATTAATTTGCCACTGAAAAAATACATTTTGTTATTTTCTCTGTGTCAACTGCATGATTAAAACGGCTGTTAAGTGAGCTCTGGGGATGTGCTCGTAAAAGATTTATGAGAAATATTCAATGTGATATTCAAAGTGAGTCATGAATATCAGGGTAATTGCTCTCAGTGTTGGCTCCTTTACTAGGCAGGAGTTTGTCAACTGCCCCATAAATATTTGCCTAGTCTCATGTAAGAAAGACAATTTCATCTTTTGCATTTTTATTATCTCTTGTAATGTTTACCTTTGGAATTTGACTATGGGAATGGTAAAAGGATTTAGAGCATCCTTGACACATGTACATGTATTTTTATTCTTTGAGGGTAAAAAAATAAGCAGTCTGGAAAAAAAGAACTATCATCCAATAGATTAGAGATGGGATTTTTATTACTAGTAATATTCCTTTCCTCTTTTATTTTTTTTTAAGCTATGGTTTTAGACCTTTTTTATTATTATTTATTTTTATTGGAAGCTTTGCAGTTGGTGACTAGTAGGGTTACTTCGTAACGGTTTCATTTGAATGAATTAAAGTACTTCCTCTAAAAATTCAATATCATTTCAATAGATGTAGCCTTTAAAGTAACCTGCAGTGATGCTTCATGAGCAAATCACATGATGTCAGAATGGTATGGTTTCGATTTAATCAAGAAAGAGATTAAAGTGGATGTGTGTTATTTTCAACTTCGCTGCAGCACCTCCATTTGTCAAAGTCAACCTTCTGATTGCTTTGGACCTACTGCTATCCAGATCTTGTCAAAATAGTAGTCTGCACAATCTGAGGCAGGTAGACTACTCTCTGCAGCACAGTATCAGACTCTATAAAGTGAAATGTGTTGGCTTATAAATTATAAAGCTAATAGATTGATCATAAATTCTGCAGCTGTTTTAATTTATTTTTATAATGCTGGCACAGCTTCCGCTCATTGTATTTAATTTCCATCACTCTGTAATATTATATGGTCAAACAACTGAATAGAAGTTTTTAAATGAATTGTGGCTGAGAATCTTAAGCTCCAGCATTAGAAGTGTAAGCCTTCAGTTTGTGTGCTAACCATATTTAGAATATAGCCGTATTTAGGGGAAAAAAATATATTTTAAGCACCTATTTTCTAGAGAGAGAAAGAACAATGGTTTCAATTGTGTATATGCAAACATGTTATTACCTTCAAATATTCCTATATTGCACCAGTTCAATATTACTATATTGAAGTGTTGTTATTTCCTTCTGGATTTTTAATAACAAATCGATGCTATGCATTCGCTTATACAATTCCCAAGCTCAGAGAGTGTGTGACCGCAGTTTAAACTAACATTAATTGCCAGTAGTCTGAATGTGAGCATAAAAATCTTAACTATGGTCAAAGCAACTGTAATATAGTAATGTTTTTCAAGAGAATGCTTCTTTTGAAGGTGGGAGGAAGCTTTTATTCGTGCCAGATCAGGGGGCTCAATGGAGTTGGCACAAAGTGATCTTAGAAAAGAGCTGAAAGGTAGGGTAGCTTTTATTCTGACATTCTCTTCCCCTTTCACAGCAATGACCCGGCTGGCCTTTGGCAATGAAATTCAATGCACATGGCTCCACAGTCAAATCATCAAATTTCCCTGTGTGTATATTAGAGTTTTGTAATGTGTTTCCATTATGAAGCAATGCAGGGATAATTGTCTTTGGTAGCAATTAGCTAACAGGTTTGTTCAGTACTATTGGCAAAGGCATCCATCATCCCCTCCCTGACCACACTTTTTGTCTAGCTAGGACTATGGAGATCAATAGAATTCTATATAGGGGAAAGTACCCCAGCTTTAATGAGCTGCTAGTCTCAGTCAGTCTTAGTTTGTATTTCTGATTTTTACCTTTAAAAGTAGATGAGGGGGAATCTTCCCATAGGGGGAGGTGTGTATTGTATATGTACTATTGCTTTCAGTAGATCAATGTATAGTTTTAAATTGTTCTGAACGAAAGGTATAGGAATTCACACTGAGAGACTGACAGAAACAGTTTATTGCTCTGGTAATACAGTTTAACAATATGCAGTTTTGAAAATGATTATTGGACTTAGATTTCACTTTTAAGCTGAATGATTTATATATATATATATCAAGGATAGCAGACTGCATTTATCCAAAGTCATATCCCCTTGAATTACACAGCTGGAAAGAGAGAAAAAGAACCAGGTTTTATTTGAATCTTTTGTGATTCATTACCGTTGCAATCCTGTCCATACTCATCTAAGAAAAAAATCTTTGGACATTATGATATGTGCTTCAGCATAATTCAAATCAAATGTATTATTATGTATTGTTATCATAGATCACCATATCAATAAAATAAAAACAGAAAAAAATTAATCAAGTAAAATTAAGGGTACTAATTGACAAATTTGTCACATTTGTACTAGTTATTGCAGCTTTTGCACCTAGCCATATAAAATGTAGCATGGTAGGAATCTAAAAGAAGCACATGAGTGGAATATATCTCTGTCCTTGGGAGGTTTTGCAGCAAGGGAGTATATAATCTTGTACAGTTCCCGGTAAAAATAAACTGTATATGTTGAACAATTTCTATTTCTGCAGAGACACATGGATAGTTACATTCTATTAGTGAATTTGGGTGAATCTGCCTGCTATAAAAGGGTGCTGATTTCACTTTAGTATTCATTATCATTCAATCTTTGAAGAATTCTTTTTTTTTTTTTTTTTTTTGCTGGTGGTCCTGCCATTTTGTGGAGTAGCAAAATTTCACAACTGAACAACAACAAATAAATCTAGATGATCAAAGGAAATCCATGGCAAGCTCAGAGTACCTTAGTCTCTCATTCAGTGCTAATATCTATGGTGAGGAATGTCCATGCTTCAAAATTACTGAAAGAATGTTATCTTTAACCAATATGTTATGATTCACCACTATGCTTTTTCTTCTACTTGGGACATTCTATCTTGGACCTAGGTATTATACTTTTGATACACCATGGAGTTGACAGTATGGATCTTAGAAAATTTGTTTGTATGCACTAGGAGTGACATGATAGTGGTGTTCCAATATTTGAAGGGATGCCACAAAGGCCGGACAAAGCAGGATAAGAAGGAATGGATGGAAACTAGTCAAGGAGAGAACCAATATAGAACTAAGGAGAAATTACTTGACAGTGAGAACAATTAATTAGTGGGACAACTTGCCTCCAGAAGTTGTGAATTCTCCAACTCTGGAGATTTTCAGGAAGAGATTGGACAGCCATTTGTTCAGAATGGTATGGGGTCTCCTGCTTGTACAGGGGGTTGGACTAGAAGATCTCCAAGGTCCCTTCCAACTGTTATTCTGTTATGTTCCATAGAAAACGTGAGCAAGAGTTTTTGCCTTGAACTGTTTTAGGGCTGCTGGTATTAATTTCCTCCCTTTGGTATAAACTTTGTCATATGATTGTATTACAACTGAAATATTTACATTTTAAAAATGTATTATGGCAGGAAAATACAGGCACTAACTTCCTAAGATCAAGAGCTCAAAATCTGGTATATGTTGTTGTTTAAATGCTATAAGAAATTGTCTAGGCATCCAAAAATATAAGTTCAACATAAAAAGTTATGCTAAGTGTATTTTGTTAATGAATGAAATGATTGCTTTCTAAAAATGATTCAAAATAACTTCTAACTTTATTACAGTATAAATATACATCCCAAGATTTATTGGGCTAAGAACCAAAATATGTAAATTCATAATAACAATAATCATCAAAAGTTGACAATCAAGAAACTTTGTAAAAATAAAAATAACAGATTCCCTTGATGGAGAAATGTTTACTACTAATAGATTTGTAGTATAATAGTTCAGCATAAATTACAGAAGTGGAATTCAGTTTAAAAGTACAACATAAGAAAGCTCAAATCAGACCTTACTTTAATGATAAACAGATATGATAGAAGCGATATAAAAGAATAAAGCACAAAATGATAAAAACAAAACAAAACAAAGAAAAAATAGCAACATAAGATGTTAATTAAAAGCATAGCTCACTGAAATTGTTGAGAGCATAGTTGAATAAATATATTGTCAAACTCTTCCTGAAGACTAGAAAAGGGAAGATCATGCATACTTCCCAGGAGAGTAATGATATTTTTAATGCTTATTTTATTTTATGAATATTTCATCACTATATAAAAGCTTCCATTCTAAAAAAAATATATAGCAAAAATAACAACAGCAGAAGGGCCGAATAAAAAGAGCTGCATACAATAT